GAGCTTTTGCACTGAATAAGCTTGCGATGTCATGCTGTCTGGTTAGACTTGAGAAAGACTAAAAATGTATGCGAACCCTGCACTTGCTGGTGCCCAGATTTGCACACGGAGGCAGCCTTATATAAAACAGGAGGGTGAACCCCCAGTCTGGCTGGGATTTGTTTCCTCATGTGAATGTTTATGGTGTTTGCTTGTTTGTTTTTATCTCAGCAGCCAAATTTTGTTTCCCTTGGTGACAAATACAAGGAGTGTGATTTAAGTTGCAAAATCAAAGGTGTTTTGATAATGGCAACAGAATGCGGTGAAAATATTAACTGCTAATGTAAACAGTGTGGTCTTGAGTCATGTATCTTGTTTTACAAATGTTCATCCCCAAATCAGATGCATTTTCTATTCTGCTTGTCAGGTGAATGCATGTGGTATAATTAAACAAACCTAATATTTTAAGTTGAACACTATTCCTGTAAGTATGTCCCTTTTTGTCCTTTTGAATAAAACACTCGAAGTCTGAATTATTTTTAAAAATTGGTATCTTGCCTTTCTTCATTTCTTAACTCACAAAAGGCTACTAAAAATTCACTCTTTTATTTTTGGGGACATAGTACAGAGTTAATTTTGATAATTCACACACAAAAAAGAAGGTAAAGATATGTCTTGATTCATTGCTATTACTTCCATTGAGGTGCCCCAAAAGCCACATTCCTAGAATAAGACTCCTACTAGGTCTCGTATGAGCTGGGAATATTTCCTCTGGCACCACAGATTTTTCTGAACACTCCTCAGTGAGGTAATTTATTTTCTATATGTCTTGGTTCTCTAGCTGTAAGAAAGGAAAATGGTCCTTGCCTACCTCACAGAAATACTGCACATCATGAGAATAAATCCATTAAAATTCATAAAGCACCAGGTACTTTGGTGCATTAAAGAGAACAAGATGATCCTTAGCCTGAGGATTTATAGTTTTAAATATTGAAGAAAATACACTTTCATGAGCCTTGCAGTGCTTGCACCAGAAACTTTGAATATAATTAAGGCAGATTTATACACCTGTCTCCATGTAGTAATAAAGTGGCAGCTAAAGAGAGAAGCATCTTCAGAACAGCATCTCCTGCACAAGCTGCAGACTCACAGCTGCCTTCTGAATTATCTGTCCTTAGCCCGGATGCTGGCACACTGCTGATAGAGAGGGGCAAGTTATGCAAAGGGAGATTCCTGCACAGGTATGAAGGTGAACTACCTAGTAAAATGGGTATCTTCCACAGACAGCAGTTTGGTTTAAAGCTGGATCAGTTTAAAGCAAAAATTCAGACATTTAAGGCCAAAGCAGCAGTAAAGATTTTAGGTATAAAGACAAACTGAATGTTGAAAACACTTCTATTACATTGCAGTCAGTGGCCTCTCTGTCCAGACTGAAGTAGAGGCAGTTTCAGTAGAGGAAATCAGTAGAGGCAGATTCACATCCACAGCTCTTGTCCCCAATCTCTTGGGGTTTCCTTTAGAAAGGAAGTCTTTCAAGTACTGCTGTTTAGCGTGGCAAAAAATGATTGACTTGTAGATGCAATTTTTGAGGCATGAAATTCAGTATGTTGATGAGATTATGTATTTCCTGGTTGATGTGAGGTTTAGAGACATTTCAGAATTATGCAGTACAGTGTCAGTTATGTCCTAATCAAGTCATACACACTGCAGATTTTATTGCTTTTTTTTTTTACGTAACAAACAAACATACAGGGGAAGCACCATCTGCAAAATAATGCAGAATAATAATGTGATTATTGATTAATGTTGCAGGTGTTTAGGATGACCATGAGTTTCTGCAGTACTTCTTGGTTTCATTTATTGCTAAATCAGTACATTCTTTAATTTCTGATTAAAACCACTTCTACAAGCAAAATCCTCACCCAAAAATTCAAGAAATTCAATTTCTAGCAACATCCTCCCTGCCAAAAATTCCAGACCTGACAATGTCATACATCATGAGAAATAATAATATATTTCATCATTTCAAAGTGGCTTCAAATCTGAAATCAGTGAGGGTGAATACATGTATCACCATGCCAAGATTCATGCTTTTAAAATAAACCCCACAATTATGTCACATATATCATTTCTCCACTTGTACATTTAGCATTCTTCATTTGCAGAATACCAGATGTTTCCTGTGTAAACTTCTGTGCACATATGCAATTGATAAATTGAGAGGAAATTAATGAATTGAGAAGATAAGCCAATCTGGGTCGAAAAAGATGGTCTCCAGCTGTGAATGGAAGTGATTTATCATTGAGCTAAAGGATCAGCTTTTCTAGCTCAAACCAGCAGATACATCATTACATTTAATCCAGACTTCCACATAGATATTTAGGAGTTTTGCAGTTGACTTCAGCAGAGCCAGGATTTCACCCATACTGTTGGCCTAGGCTGAAAGCCCATTCCCCACAGTTGTGTTATTCTTATTTATTTATTTAGTAAATGTGGTTATTTCTGTAGTGGAGGAATAAAAACCATCAGTTTGTGCACTTGGGGTAGAAAGACTGCAGCTGTCACCACTGCTTAGCACAGGAAAAGGAGAGTGAGCTTTATTGTCTCTTTTTAAGCTTTGGTAGTGAGTGGCTCATTGGCCTATCATTGTTGACATCTGCCCAAACCAGTGAAGACTTTCAGGTTTCACAGACCAAAAGCACATGCCTGGTTGGAAACATGAATACCTGAAATATGCATGCAAACTATTACCATTTGCTCAGGTAAATGTTTGTAGGAAGTGAAATTATAGATGATATTTGCAAATGTTTAGATCAGGACATAGTATTTTACCTGCGATGAGGCTCAGCAGAATACAGTGTCCCCAAACCTCACCACTAAACCTGTAGTGCACAGGGACTAGCCAGACAGACAGGAGGAGATGAGATCGTAACTCAGATCTCAGGTTCCAGTCATACAGACATTCAGTCATTTTATGCAAACATGATACTATAGAACTGAATTTAGATTTTGCATGTCCAAATTACTTTTCATCTGACACATCTCTTTTTTCACGGAAAGGGTAGTCAAGCATTGGAACAGGCTGCCCAGAGAGGTGGTGGAGTCACCATCCCTGGAAGAGTTCAAAAAACGGGTAGACGTGGCACTTTGGGACATAGTTTAGTGGGCATGGTGGTGTTGGGTTGACGGTTGGACTGATGATCTTAGAGATCCTTTCCAACCTTAATGATTCCTAGTTTTTACTTTCATTAAAAAATAATCCAGCCACCAAGCCAGGAAACATGAAATTACTTCTCTACCCTTAATTGGTTTAGTGGTGGACTTGGTAGTGTTAGGTTAATGGTTGGACTGGATGATCTTAAAGGTCTTTTCCAACCTAAATGATTCTATGATTCTATGATCTCCATGAACTAGTTTACTCTGGGTCTCAAAAAGCAATTGGGCTGGTGTGAGGAAGGGGATGGGAACCTGTGTCAAGGGAGACCCTTTCCAGAGACAGCTGTAAGGTCATTTTGGATGTAACATTGCACCATATGTCTCACTATGCCTTAACTTGTCCAAGACCAAGGCCTTAGAAACAGCTCAGCATGCCAGAAAGGGTTTCCAAACACTGCCCCTATAAGATAATCATTAAGGTTACAGTTTTCTTAAATTCCCTTTTACTTCTTGTGCTACTCTGTCATACTAAGGGATTCAAAGCTCCAGTAACTTGCTCAGTTCCTTCCTTCCTCTTGGTGTAGGAATTATAGTCCTTTATGCAACAGAAACAGAATAACGTGACTTAACATTATGTCACAAACACACACGCGTGAATTCCACTGCACATAAATCAAGGCAAAGTCACTGGGGAGATACAGACGCCATGAAGCGGGCATCTTCCCATTGCAGATGAAGATGGTGGGTTTGTGGAAAGCTACAAAAGAGAGTGCACTCAGCTGCTGCTCCATGACTAATATAATTTGGCCCATTCTCATTGATACAATAGAAAAACATGCGGGTTTCAGATGGCCTCGCAAAGTGCAACTTGGAGGAGACAAAAAAGATTTTTATAAGCTTTTCATCCCAGTTCCTTCTGATTTGAGATCCCAGTAACTCTAATTAAAGTACTTTGTGTGCTGACGCCCTGGCAGGGTCATGAATTGGGTTTTTGAAAGACAAACTGTGCAACATTTGTAATTTTAATAAGTCAAACTCCAAAGAGTATTCTTTGTGTTTCAGATACACACTGGGCCCAGGTGCCCCTGCCCAATATGGTATGAGATCACCAGCTTGAGAAACTACCAAACAAAGGCAAAACTTGGTCTTTCTGCATGAGCAAAATATATCTGAGGCACGTACTCTGTTCAGTCAGGAAACTAATCCCACTAGCACCTGAAATGTTGAGACAAAGAGGGATATTCAGGCAAGGCTATAAAAATGCCATCAGTGCTCTAATGCTGGTCTGAAAGAACAATCCTCCCTTCTGCCAAACAAAGTAAAACAAACAATAAAAAGCTACAAAACAGAACAAATAATGTGATAAAAATAAGGAATAAAAAGATCACAACAGTGGTCTAATTGTGTCATTCATCTGAGAGTTGCTATGAACAGTTGTAACAGCACTTTTAAGAATTATTTCCTGAAAAATGTAGATTTCAGCTCTTATATTTAAGGTTTTGCCTATTACAACTGTCTGTCCTTATTTAAATTAACATTACATTTTAATACTGTCTTGGCCTTAATAATAGATTTTATGATGAGCTCCACAGGCTACATGTGATTGTGTGGAGATAAAAAAAAAACCCTACCCCAGTGTTGTTAGTACTTCTGATACATTTGGTGGCCATTCGTTTAAATTGACTAGAAACAGCCAGTATAAACATCTGATCACTTGAAAATAATCTGAGATTTTCTTGATTCTTTTTCTTGATTTAAACAAAATGTTCATCCTTATGTTCAAAACTTATTCTTAGGCCACAGTTCCACAGGCAGTTATGTACAAAGTATTACCTTCAGAAAGCAGAAAGAATGAATGTAGTTACCGGATTAAGTCAAGCAGTGCATCTGCAGAGCTCATGATGGGCTTTCCTCCCTCTTCAGTGCTCTCCTTCTGTGCTGCTCCACCAGGATGGATAATGGAGACCATTATTATTCCCACAATCACAGCCACAAATGTTGTCCACAGGTAGTAAGTGACGGTTATAATACCTAGTCGACTGGAAGTCTTGGCATCCAGGGCTGCTAGCCCAGACATTAAGCTGTGGAAAGAAAACACAACACATAGGGTATCTTTTGCATAACATTAATGCAACTGAAAACCTAATTTCCTAATTATTGCAGTTTACCTGCTTCTCTCAGGATTGCTTAAACACTCTCTACCAGTGTTTTTAAAAGCTTGCCAGTAACACTAAAGCTGTAGCCTCTGTGTCCAAAGGGATGTTTCCTAATTGCCAGGTGAGATCCTGGTTACTTTGAAGGAACTTGCAAGCTCAGGCTGCACACATGGGGACTGAATCCCATCGACTGTTCCCTGAAGCTTGAGGGATGGTTTTACATAACCTACAGGTGTGATGGCTCGGTTCACAGGAGCAATGGCAATAATCAGTTATACAAACTTAGGTATGAAACTCTACACATAATTTTCCAGAATCATAGAATAATTCAGGTCGGAAGGGACCTCTGAAGGAAATCTGGTCAAGCCCCTTACCCCTTCCTGTGTGAAGCCAGACCACAGCTTCAAAATGAAAAACACTAAGGGGCAATTTTGTCATATAGTCCATTTTTTACCTAAAAGAATAACTTCTTTTCTTTCTAAACCAATACAAAGCACAATATATTTTTGCTTTACCAGGGGGCACATTGGGGAGTTCACTGTGATTCAGTGTGCCTCCAGCTGAAGTGGAGACAGTGTATGACGTGCAGAGGAAAATCCTTCATGGGCAGCTGTGGCTGCACAGTGGTGAGCAAAGAAAATGCTACAGTCGCTTCACCCTTTTCTTTCCCCTTTAGCTCCCTGCCCACCACTACCAGAGGACGACCAGTAGTCATTCTCTTGGTTTTATAGCTTGCCTCTGCCAAACTATACAACTCTCTGCCAAGTGCTTTAGCTCCTACTAACCCTCTTTTATAGGCAAATGAGACAAGGCACTGTTTGGTCCCTGAACTTGCTTCAGGCTGCTCTGACACAGACTCTGATGTTGTTTCCACGTGACCCAAGGCTGAGATTTGAGTTTCCAGTGACACCAGTGTTGCGTGAGGCTTCTGGCTTGTATCAGAAATAGTGTGGCCAGCAGGAGCAGGGAAGTGATCGTCCCCCTGTACTCGGCACTGGTGAGGCCGCACCTGGAACACTGTGCTCAGTTTTGGGCCCTTCACTACAAGAAATACATTGAGATGCTGGAGCATGCTGAAAGAAGAACAACAAAGCTGGTGAAGGGTCTAGAGCACAAGTCTCACTAGGAGTGGCTGAGGGAACTGGGGTTGTTTAGCCTGGAGAAGAGGAGGCTGGGGGGAGACCTTAGCACTCTCTACAACTACCTGAAAGGAGGTTGTAGTGAGGTGGGTGTTGGTCTCTTCTCCCAAGTAACAAGTGATAGGATGAGAGGAAATGGCCTCAAGTTGCGCCAGGGGAGGTTTAGATTGGATATGAGGAAAAATTTATTCACCAAAAGGGTTGTCAAGCATTGGAACAGGCTGCCCAGGGAAGTGTTGGAATCACCATCCCTCGAGGTATTTCAAAGACGTGTAGATGTGGTGCTTAGGGACATGGTTTAGTGGTGGACTTGGCAGTGTTAGGTTAATGGTTGGACTCGATGATCTTAAAGGTCCTTTCCAACCTAAGTAATTCTATCATTCTATGACTAATTCTCTGTAAACTCTTCAAAGCATACATCTCAGGAAAACTGCAGGTGAAATAGAATACCACATTTACTATTTGATGTGCCCCACTGTCTAGCTTTCTCATCAAAACAGAACTGTTATCAGGCCTTCCCTCATAAATAGTCATTTACTAAGCTGCACCTCCTTGAATGAGATCTTCTTGACCCCACTCTGCTGAGTGAGGTTGTCTAGAGCCAATGCTAAAGTGCAGCTTAACCTTTATAGTAGATTTAATGAAATCAGATGGGTGGGATTTAGTGCTCAGGTTCCTGCTATCCACTAGATTAATTAAGAAAATGTATTGCTTTTCTGAATTGCCAATCTCTTATCTAGCATGGGTTTTGTTAACACTGTAGGAGCAAAGGGAAACATTGGTTGCACTGTAATATAGATCATTTAGTAAATGAGCGTCTCAATAACACTCACTCTTGTAACCATTGTTCTTCCCTCTCTTTTATCATTGTGTTTAATAAAAATTCAACCTTTCTGTGTGTCTGTAAAGCACTGTGTACAACCACAGAACTACATATTAAAAAAATAGTAGCAGCAACGATACTTAGTTCCTTGGCATTTTGCTTGGATGGGTCCATACGGAAGAGTAAATATTCTAAAACATTTTTTTGATAAAACAGTTGAGCTAAATACATTTATCTCAAATTAATGTGTTCGTTTTCTGTAAAACAATCTCTATGTTGTTATTAGATTTCTAGGACTGAACTCTTCTCGCAGGCTGAGGTTTCACAGGCCATTGAGCCAGTTCAACAGCTCGTTGATGCCCAAAGGAGATACCCATACTGTACTAGACTTCAGCACTGTTCCTCCCCCCACCCTAACCTTCCCAGAAAAAAAAAAGGAAAAAGGAAAATCAGGTTGATTTTTAACCAGCGGGATGTTTTTCATGGTAATAATTTTCAGTGTTCTTTATAGATGTATTATGCAGGGAAACAGACACCAGTGGTATGAAGGCCTGACCGTTGACCAGCAGACCTGTAACTTGTAGGTAGGACACCATGCAGAGTGATTATTTGGAGAGGGCACTACTGAGGAGACAGACAGTACACTTCTCTTCCTGGCACAACCCTGAAGCCACTGTCAATGTGGTAAAGCCACACTATTTCTGTTGTCCTTGATGCCACTGCATGATGTTTGTTCTACAGAACAGTGGGGAGATGAACCCTGCACATAATGCTTGAACTGTCTTGATTGTTCACCTGAGAAGTATGTCCAGAAGTACTTAGGGACAAAAATCCTAATTAAAGATGTCCAGTGGTTCATGTGCCTTTGGGGGTGCTACCTCAGCCTCAAGACATTGAGATATTAGGATCCAGGGGGGATGTTGTGCAGCTAGAATCTAATCATACATTGGCTCTTAGGTGACAAATCCTGAGGGGGCTAATAATGAGATTGCTCTGTCTTGGGGATATTCATTAACAAGATCATCATCTGTAATGAGATTATCCTGTCACCAGATAAAGTCATGTTCAGTTCATGCTGTGATGAGAAAGTCCTCAAAAGTAATTAACTATGGAGGTGCAACAGGTGTGACAGAAGCATGAACAAAGGTCTGAGTTGAGACAATGCCCCGTGCTTTTCATGGCCTGCAATGCTCAGTTTTAAGAAGGGACCAGTGGGAGCAGTTCTCCAAAGGCTGTGGAGTAACACCGGTCATGTCATTTTAAGCAATTGCTCAGAATCATTTTCAGAAAGAAATGCCTGTAACTAGTATAGAGATAATAATCACTCATTAACTATTTTTCATTTGGCTTCATACGTTTGATGACAGAGGGAACAGGACAAGACAGAAGACAAAGATTAAGAGACATAATGATTATCACAGTTATTGCATGAAGTAAGTAATACATAGTTACATCACAGGAGTTCCGTTGATCTCTAGAGCTCTAACATTCACATAATGTAGCCAAAGAATGACAAGAAAAAGTACTTTTCTTATTTCCTAGGGAATACGGAAGTCAGGAGGAATAAGCTTCCAGATGGTTTAACTTAAGATCACTGTATCATGTTCAAGCTTTCACTTTAAATCTAATTTTCATCAGACGCTCTTGGCTACATAAAAACTCCCCCAGCAGTTTCCCAAGCTTCTTCTAAGACTGAACAAAGATGTTCCCATGCCATCCACTACTAGACTCTCATGAAACACAATGGAATGAAAAAGAATGTACCTTTAATTCTTGTCAAGCCTCAGAATCTGGTTAGGCTTGGAATAACACGACAGATACTTAATTCATAGATTAAAATAATTTGACTTGCTATGTAGCTAAGTAGCTTCCACATGCATGTTTCATGCATAGCTTCTATAATGTGTTTTAATGATTGCCAAATGCACAAAACACGATTAAGACAATGAAAAACAATCTGCAGCTTTTCTGAATAATTACAGTACATCTTACTCATTTAATTAGTCTGGCAAAAAAATTTCCACAGAAGTGCAAGTTCATGTTCAGGGACCATTTCTTAGTTTGTATAGAAAAAAAATGGTGTCAAGCCTAAGGCTTCCAAAATATGTGTTAATGAGTTTTGGATGAGATATTAAATCTTGTAGTGCAGGATTTAAGTGAAATCTCTGATTACTATGATTTAAGAGGTTTCTTGCACCTTGCTTTAAAACATCTGGTGCTGGATATAATAACAGACACCATAATAAAGTAAGTAGCCCCATGACCTCTTTATCTCCTGCATAGATTGTTCCAATTACATGTAAAAATCATCTTCCTGTGACTTCTCTTTCTGCCATCTAGAATATTCTGCTTCTTTTTTTTTTTATTCTATCTTGTTTACCCAACAAATATTGGATTAAATTGTGTATTCTCAGAGACTACATATGATTTGAAGAATAGCCTCCAAAATTGTTGTATCTACTGTATATCTGTGCAAATATCTGTCCTATGGTCCTTATATGTCTGTGGCTTTCAAGCCTCTTCAAAGTTATGTTTTGATAATCTGAAAATCTCTCACAATGCAAAACTGATGCTCCACAGTATTTTCAGGTTTACAATCTTTCTAAGGTTTATATTTTCATTCTTAACAAGTAAAAGATATTTGGCTTTTTTTTACCAGGACTTAGGTAATTCTAAATCTACTCTGCTTTGTTTTCTGGGAAGTAAGTTGTTCTGATACAGCCAAATCTGTCTTGTCTCTTCTCTGAACTCTCCAGCCACATTTTTATTGGAGCACGAAAGTCAGAAAGCCAGTTAACCAAATAGCAGCATTTTGATCAAAAGCTGGATATGGCAAATAATTAAAAAAAGTGTATTTACTTGCAGCAGTTTAGTGGGACAGATATTTGAGACAGTTATTTCACTAAGACTTCAATTGTTTCATTGCTGATTGGTAGTAAAAAGAATTCTAGCTAAATTATTTT